CCTGGATAATTTTTTTTTATTTTTCCTTTTGTAGAGATGGGGCTCTTATGATGTTGCCCAGGCTGGTCTCGAATTCCTGGCCTCAAGCAATCCTCCCACCTCAGCCTCCCAAAGAGCTGGGATTACAGGCATGATCTATTGAGACCGGCCCATTTATAGTATTACCCAGAGCAGTTTCATTGCCCTAAAAATCATTTGTGCTCCACCTGTTCATCCCTCCCTTCCCCCAGCCCCTGGAAACCACTGATTTTTTTTTTTACTGTCTCCATAGTTTTGTCTTTTCCAGAATGTCATATAGTTGGAATCAGCATGTAGCTTTCTCAGGTTGGCTTCTTTAACTTGGTAATATGCATTTAAGGTTCCTCAATGTCTTTTCATGGCTCGATAGCTCAATTCTTTTAGCGCTGAATAATATTCCAATGTCTGGATATACCACAGTTTATCCATTCACCGGCTGAAGGACATCCTGGTTGCTTTTAAGTTTTGGCAATTATGAATAAAGCTGCTATAAAACAACCATGTGCAGGTTTCTATATGGATGTAATTTTCAGCTCACCTAGGTAAACACTAAGGTGTGCAATTGCTGGATCTTATGATAAGAGTGCGTTTAGTTTTGTAAGAAACCACCAAATTGTCTTCCAAAGTGGCTGTACCATTTTGCATTCCCACCAGCAACGAGAGTTGCTGTTGCTCCACATCTTCACCAGCATTTGGTGTTGCCACCTTTGCTCATTTTTAAAATTGGGCTATTTGTCTATGTTATTGAGTTGTAAGAGTTTCCAAAGTCCCTTTTGGAATATATTAATATGATCTGCAAAAATTTTCTCCCAGTCTGTCCATTGTTTTAGAGGCCATGTTTTTTTAAATGCAAAGGAATGTTAAACACTAAACTCATGATAGTGGTTACTTCTGGAGAAGGCAGAGGCACAGATCAGGTTAGTATTACACAGGTAGATATCATTGTAAAGATGCCATAAGAGGCAGAGCAGACTCTGGAGCCAGCTGCCTGGATTTCAAGCCAGCACTGTCAAGTAAATTAGTCTCACTGTGTCTCAGTTTTCTCACCTGTAAAATGGGTCTACCAATACTTATCTCACAGGTGTGTTGTGAGGCTTAAACAAATTAATGTATCTAGAAAACTAAGAACAGTGGCTACCAAGGACATCCTACACTTTATATAAACCTTAACTGTATTACGACTTAACTTGGTACTGGGATTCAAAAGTTTCCATTTGTTATTATGCTTTATAATTTATATACGTTTGGTATAACTCATTTAAATATACAAATACATTTTAAAAGATAATAAAGAAGAAAAAAAGACATCTGATTCTTTTACCCTTTAAAACGGGAAAGATTGGGCTAGATGCAGGCAATAACCCATGCAGGGGTTATTCAGCTAAGCAAGGGTCCCAGAGCTAAGCTCAGCCCTCGACACTGGCCCTTCCCCGGTACTCAACAAGGTGTCTGTCAACTGCACTTTCAGAAAAAGACCACGAGCCCTTGGCAAGAGTCAGGGCAGGGCGGGACCTAATCTGGCAAGTGACCTAGACTCTGCACCACCTCAATTTCTTCACCTGTAAAATGGGAGTGCTAAGAGTACCCACCGGACCTAGGAGAGTAGACTACGTACAGGATCTTGAGCAGGCTGGTCCTGTTGTTAGCTGTTATTTCTGCCCTCACACTGCCAGGTTCCCCTTGGTGTTCGGAGATAACCTCAGTGGGAAAATGCCACCAAAGCGAAAGATACCCAGAACGGACAATCTAAGGCTCCTTCCAGCTTCAGAATTCTGGGCTGCTTTTCACAGAAATCAGGAATTGGGATGCAAATGTTCTTGTCTAAAAGGCTGATGCTATAACCTACCTATGGGGGTTGTGGAGAAGCGCCAAGAAGTTAAAAGTCAGGAAAGCGCTTTGACATTTAAGCGCTAAGAGCGAGCTTGGTTTATAGGCATATATATATATTTATATACATATACACAAACTGTTGCTGCAGAAAGGGCGCCGAGGGGCCGGGCCAGCACCACGACAGCGCAGGCGCCATTATCTGCCTCAGCCGTCACCTCGGGGGCCCACGGCCCGCGCGCAGGGACTGGTCGAGGAAGGTCTTCGGGGCCTCTGGGGCGCTACCCAGGAGCGCCGTAGGCGTTGGACAGCCGGACGGCTGAACGCCAAGGGAGACCCAGCAGCCGCTCCGCGACCCCGGCGCCAGCACCCAGCCAGCCAAGGGCCCGAGCGCCCCCTGACGGCGCCACCGGCCCCTCAGAGCGACAGTTAGGGAGACCCAAGGCCAAGAGGCGTTTCTGCAAATGAACGTGCGCAGCCTCCACGAGATGTTCTCCCACCCAGAGCGAGAGACTTCCCAGCCAATTGGAGAGCCCCAGAGCCGTCCTCCCGCCCACCGGGGCATAGGGGCGTGGCGTTCCATTTTAGCCAATGAGAAAAGACATTCGTCCTCGGCCCCGCGCACAGCTTGAGGAGCCGGTGAGGTTGGGGAGGTGGTTTCCCTAGCAAGATGGCGGCGGGCGGCGTCCACCGGGTTGCTGCTGCGGCCAGCACCTCTGTGAAGCCCATTTTCAGTCGAGACATGAACGAGGCCAAGCGGAGGGTTCGCGAGCTCTACCGCGCCTGGTATCGGGAGGTGCCGAACACTGGTGAGAGGCAGCAGCGCACGTGGGGCCCCGGAGGCAGCAGCTCAAGGTCGCAGCCGGCTCGGCCCACTTTTCTCTCGGGCCTAGCTGAGGTCACTAACTTGGCCAGAGGCGACTCCTGATGCTTCGGGGGAAGAGGGTCACCTGAGCATATGGTGGGCCCGACCTGGCGGCGGTGCCTGGGGTCAGACCAGCCGTGCCCAGCATCCGCGTACAGCCCTCGGCCCTTTGGTCTCTTTTGTCCCCTGTAATTCTTACAGCACCCCCGGGAGGGAGGACAGAGGACTGTCAATGACGTACTCATTTTCTAGGTGGGCAACTGAGGCACCAAGAGGCGAAGTGATGTGCCCAAAGCCCAGAGCTAGCCTTTGGTGGATCTGGAACCCAGAGTCAACCCTAGAGTTCCAGGATATATTTACAGACGCCCACTAGGTTTTGTAACCCAAGTGGCTGTAGGATTTCAGCAATCACCCAGCTCCCACTCCCCCTCCTTATACGGAAAGAAACTGAACCAGAGAAGGGAAATGCCTTTCCCAGGTGGTCCAGTAAGTCAGTGGTACCTTTTCTGTTTCTTCCAGGCGAGATGGCCTCCCTCCCCTCCAGTCTCCCAACCTTGCTCCCTAGCTCTCCCTGCCTGTAGTATTTATTGAATTTCTCTCCCTGCCCACTGCTGGTCTGCCCCCTACCACCTCAGAACCCTTCCCTTCACTTAGGTGGCATAAAACCAGTCTGTTCACCTGAAGGATTAGTATGTAAGCTCCCAGAGTGCAGAGACTGTTTTCTTATCTCGGTATCCCCCTCAGTGCTGCCCACTGTACTAGATAAAAGAAAGGCTGGGGGATATCTCATCTAAACTGTAAGGACAGCACAGATGTCAGGGACTGTCGATATTTCGTTATTTTCTTTATTTGACTTAGTGCGTTTTAGCAGACCATCATGCTGGTCTGAGAGAGAAGGTGCTTTTCAGTGAGTTGAGCAGCACAGCGTTCCTTGGGCTGCTACTCCCTACTTGTATGTGAGAGGCAGTGGAACACGGTGCTTAGGAGCATGCACTTGTCTCCAGGCTCTGCCCTTTAGTGGATATGTGACCTGGGGCGAGTTATTTCATCCGTGCCTCAGCTTCCTCATGTGTAAAATGGAGATAATAATAGTGCCTTCTTCAGGGAGTTACTTTATGAAATAGGTTAGAATATCTAAAGTGCTTAGAACAGGGTGGCACCTAGTTAATACCCCTCAAATACTGGCTGCTCTGTTGTTACTGTTATTTACAGGGCTTACCCTAGCAGGAGTCTCTCTGCAGAACCCAGTTCTTTGATGTGTGAGAACTGTCTGCTCCACGGAGTCCTGTCCTCAAGGTCACTTTTTGAAAAATTGCTAAAGATCAGAACTAAAACCCACCTGCTACTGGGGAAGGAGGAGCTTGAATGATCTGCTGGTTTAGAGACTATAAATGCCTTTGGGGGATGGGTGGATAGTAGGGGGCAGTGTGTGGGGGGGGTGCAATTCCAATTCAGATGTTTAAAAACTTCAAGAATACTTCTTTGAGTGTCCACAACCTTTTCCTGTTGCTGGTGGGAGGTATGGGGGGATGGAGGCGAGATTCAGGAAGGGTGGTTTGTGAAGGGTAAAAATCAGTGGCTGAGTTAAAGAGGGAAACCAGGTACCCTGGCTGTGAAGACCCTAACTACTCCCTCCCTTTCTGTGTGACTTGCACAGATGTAAAAAAATAAATAATAAATAAACTACCCCCTCCCAGGATCTTCCCTCAAAAACTGTTTGGGAAGAAAGTCCTGGACTGAGAGGAAGAAAAGAAGGGAGAGCTTTACAGGAGCATAGAGAGCGGGGGAAGAGCGGGGGGGAAAGAAGGGGGACAGTACACCCTCGTGGGGAAGATCGGTAGCCTGAAGCCGGTCACTTGCTCAGGCCTGTGCTACACTGGTGTCATGGCCTCCATCACCATGACTCCAGCCGAGGAACCAAACCAAGGATTGGCAATAAGTGATAGTATTGATAACTAACATTTATTGAAATGCTTATGTATAGCTCATCACTATGCTAAATGCTTTACATTGCCTTATTTTAGGATGGGGTCTAATTGTCTCCCCGCCTTATAGATGACAAAACCGAGGCACATAAACTTGTGTCAGGTCACACCATTAGTAAGTAGGAGAGCCTGACTGTAAAACCCTAATACCTGGCTCTTAGCTCCTACTGTAGTGTTCCCTGAATCTCCTGGTGCCCAGTTTGGCACAGGAGCAGAGGGACAGAACTGCCTTTGAATCTCTCCTTTGAAAAAATATGAAATGCTGCCTGCTGGCCATAACAGGAGACTTTTTGTGGAAACAATTAGTTCATTTAATTTCCATTTCACTGAGTACCTCTAGCACTCCAGGGTCAATACTAGATGTCTAGAGAGATACAAAAGTGAATAAATCACGACCCTGCCTTCAAGGGTCTTAATGGTCTAGTCAGGGAGATAGACATATAACCAGATAATTAAACCCAAAGTATCATAGAAGTTGGGAAAAAAGTGCTAAACACTTTAACAGCCAACATATGTATCATGTTTACTGTTTATAAGGTGTTGTCACTTGATTTTTCACTATCCTGTAAAGGAATTAGGTTAGAGGTTATTTTCTATTTTTTAGATGAGAAAACAGGCTCAGGAGGCTGTACCCCAGACAAGGTTATAGTTCCTAAACATCTGGAGTCCCTACTCAGCCTATTTGACCCCTGATCCCACGATCTTTTCTGTTACACCATGCTGCCTTCCCATCCAAGCATTGCCTAGTACCGAAGTGAATTGAGCAAACAGCTGAGAGCTGCATCAGTGTTGTCCTTCCTAATCTGTCAGAGCCTTCTGGACCCAGGAAAGCCTTAACCATAACTTTGGGAGAGCACACAGAGACTGTGGAAAAGTCACCTTCGTCCAAAAGGGGCACTTCCTTATCTTCCTTTTGAGCCTCTCAGATTTTTTCAAGTTGAAATCTAAATAGTCAGGATTCAAAGAATAAGCCAGGAATCTGTGAGGTGAGAAAGAACAGTTGGAATTGATTTACCCCAGAGTTTCTCAACAGTGCATTTGTTGTATGGGGCTGTCCTGTACATTGTAGGATGTTGAGTACCATCCCTGGCCTCCACCCACTAGATGCCAGTAGCACTCTCCCCACACTGTGACAACCAAAAATGCCTCCAGACATTACCAAATGTTTGGGCGGGTAAAGTCATCACTGGTTTGAGAACCACCGATTTAGACCAAAGAAGAATTCAGCTACGCTATGTCTGTTTGCCTTCCTGCAGCTTTCTTACGGGTGGCTGGGTATGTTCGGGGTGTTGGGATGAGAGGAGGGAACCTAGGACAAAGCTGTGGAATTTCTCTCTCTCAAAACAAGGGTTCTTAACCTGGGAGGATGGCTATTCGGGGGGATCTCTGACCTGCTGAAATTTTAAGCAAAACTTTGCATTCATGCATGTGAACATTTTGCTGAAGAGAAGATTCATACGCCCAGTGCCCTGGTGTGTGGTTCAGGAGATCATGAGCTGGTGCTGATGATCCATAAGTATGTCTAGAGGCACTTTGGTTTTTGTTCCCAAGGTTGGGCAGGAATCTGAAATGTTAATAAAAATGCAGGAGGCCAGGCGTGGTAGTTCACGCCTGTAATCCTAGCACTCTGGGAGGCTGAGGTGAGAGGATTGCTTGAGGTCAGGAGTTTGAGACCAGCCTGAGCAAGAGTGAGACCTCGTCTCTACTAAAAAATAGAAAAAATTAGCTAGGTGTGGTGGTGCTTGCCTGTAGTCCCAGCTACTTGGAAGGCTGAGGCAGGAGGATCGCTTGAGCCCAGGAGTTTGAGGTTGCTGTAAGCTAGGTTGACGCCAAGGCACTCTAGGGCCACAGAGCTAGACCCTGTCTCAAAAAAAAAAAAAAAAAAAAATGCAGGAAAGGTAAGTACGGAGATTCCTCACATTCCTTTCCTTAAAAGAGCACAGAAGGCCGAAGGCTGGGCGTGGTGGCTCACGCCTGTAATCCTAACACTCTGGGAGGCCGAGGCAGGCGGATTATTTGAGCTCAGGAGTTCGAGACCAGCCTGAGCAAGAGCGAGACCCCGTCTGTACTGAAAAAATAGAAAGAAATTATCTGGACAACCAAAAATATACATAGAAAAAATTAGCCGGGCATGGTGGCGCATGCCTGTAGTCCCAGCTACTCGGGAGGCTGAGGCAGAAGGATGGCTTGAGCCCAGGAGTTTGAG